ACCATTCATCGCTTAACTCATATTACAAGCCTCAAGGCTATGATTTCATCAAATATTCATGATTAAGAATAGTTTCTAGAAATGATTTTTATTTTTCGTCATTTTTTTCAGATCATTGTTCATTATGTACTCTGTTACCGTGACATTGTCGTCTAGAGACAAGTATTTGAATATTAACACATTAATAAATTTATATTTCTTCTTCTTGTAATATTACGATATAGTGTGTGACGCTTCCTTTTAGTAACTTCGACACTGAAGTAGTATGTAAAATTTTTGAATACTTGAATATTTAAGAAGTTCTAGGGACTACTATTGTGAAGAAGGATTTATGTTGATTTGCTTGTTCATGAAAGTACTCTCGAATATATTTATTCTGATTGTCGAAGCAGAAGAAATCATTCATGTATACATTAGAATATCAATAAGTAAAAATGAATACTGTATTGAATTTAAAATAAATAAGTATGTGCGATGTTTCTGTAATGAAAAAAATTTTTTTTTCTTTTTTTTAATTAAAAGAAAATGATTTCAAGTGTCTAAACCTCAATGAGCGGGGCCGAGCCTATTCAGATTTTTGATTTAAATTACATTTATTTAAAATTGTTGAAAAAATTCTGCATGTCGTTGGTTACTGTTTTTTAAGCACTATTACTTTCAGTATATAATGTATTTCAATGTTGTGTGAATAACTTTTGATAACATTATCATAGAGATCTGCGGTTTTCACCATTCAAGAAAGAAGACTCGGAACTATAGAAGTATACCGAAATTTGATTGGTCAGCAATTGATCAATCAGGTGAATTCATGATGGAGATTCTCGCAAATGATTATTCTGAAACCATACATCTCGTCATCAAAAGCTTACCTAATTAGTTAACTTCTTACCAATCAAATTTCGATATATAATTCAATGACCACAGGTCTTCTCTCTTGAATGGTGAAAACTGCAGATCTCTATAATGTTTCTATCAAAAATTATTCAAAGAACAGTGGAGCACACTATGCGCTATTGAAGTGCATATTAATTGATGCGTCATAGCATATTATTGAAGATTATAATATTTAGAACAAACTGAATTGATTATAATGATTTAACGTATTGAGATTTGTCGAATAATAGTTAAATTATAATAAATGAAAAATCGTAAAGCTTGAAAAATAGATCAATGAATTATTAAGTAATTTATTATCATAAAGAGGCCAGTAATAAAACGTCTTGTTGTTTTTTGTTTTTCGAAAAAAACAAGGCATCAGATAAATAGTAATGTTATCAACAGGTATTAACATACTTAAGTAATGTCCAATAAAAATAAAACTTAATCAATTGTTGAAGAATATATATTTCAAATAAATCTTATTTATTGATATGTATGTATTTTATCTAGAATAGAAATGAGTACATTCTGTATAACAGAAAAAAAAAAAAAAAAAAACAACACAGCAAAATCAACTATTTTTTATTCTCAATTGGATTTGTTTCATTAGATGATGGTGTTTTTAATGATCGAGTATCCCATATACCAGGACGTTTTTTATCTTGGTCAGTTGATACCATATTTCGTATTGGTCCAATATTACCGGTACTAAGTAGAATTTTTCGTGAAAGACGCATTGTACCTGATACAGGGTCACGACCAAAATATTTGACTTGTAATTCATCACCAACATTTAAACCTAAAGCAGTTGGATGATCAATCTAAAATGAAAAACCAAAACAAATATTTATAGGTTTTTTTATTCATAAATGAATTCAAATCTTTGTATCAATACGATACTTATCTTTAGAAATTATGAAGAAAAATTATCAACGATATAAAACATCATTTGCAAAAAAATAAAATAGGAAATGTACTAAAGAAGATGAATACTACAGCTTTCAAGGGAACTTGCCTTTCTGGATGTTAAAATAAATTTTCTTTTTAATTTTTGGTTTAGTTTCGAAGTGTTCTCTTGTCAAATGCCATATGAATGAAAGCTCTTCATTGTTATTTAGTACTTTGATCTTGCGCTGCGATCATTCTTTGTATGCAAAAATTTTGCTAATCAGAGAGCACAGGTCATGAATCTCTAACACTGTCAATTTTCAATCACTTTATTAGAAGAAAAAAATTACTGATATATACAGTGGCGTACGCAGAAATTTTTCAAGGCGGGGGGGCCAACTTCGTAAGGGGGGGGGCCCGCCACGGGACAAAAAATTTTTTATCACGCGAAAATATTTTTTCCTGTACCTCCCTTCAGG